CACCACGACCACCACGACGACAACGACCACCACGACCACCACGACCACCACGACCACCACGACCACCACGACAACCACGACCACCACGACCACCACGACCACCACAACCACAACAACCACTACGACAACGACCACCACGACCACCACGACCACCACAACCACAACAACCACTACGACAACGACCACCACGACCACCACGACCACCACAACCACAACAACCACGACGACCACTACGACAACGGCTGCCGCGACCACCACAGAAGAGGTCACGACTACAAGCTTTGTGGCCCCATCAACTTCCGCTCCCGCCAACGCTTCCATCTGCGAAGATGCAGGGTGCTTCGGCTCGCAAGTTTCTGAAACGAATAGCAGCAAACTAAAGTCTAACGCGAAGCGATGGGCAAGCTTTCAGCTTTTCTGCGATGAGTTCGTTGACACAAGCAGTGTGTTGCGAGGTTCTGCGGTGCCATTTGCGACATCGGCTTCGCTGGTGCTAGATGTCGAGACGACTGCGGTTCGAAAGCTCGGAAGATCACTCGGACATTCTGCAGGTGCGGACTGTGCTCCTCCGGGCACCCTTCGCTCATGGAAGTAAACGAGGACGTTGGCCTCCTGCAGTCCCGGTCGTATGCCCTGCAACCGGACGTGGAGACGGAGAGCAGCGAGCTGTCTGCAGGCCTCTGCTCCTGCCGCCGCTCGGACTTTAGAACACTTAGCGCTGTGCGGGGGTCTGTGCTCAGTACTCCTCCGAGACATGTGTGTGGCCCCATTCTAAGGCAGCAAGTCCTTCTACTGCAAGAGGCTCTGCGACGACGGCCTCAAGATGAAAGGGAATCGCGAGCCCGCTTGCATCCAGGGCTGTCTGCAGAAGTTCTCTCAAGTCGTAAGCGTCCTGGAGAGCTACGAAGAGAAGTGCCCCGATTGCAAGGCCAGCGTCGCTCCTGATGTGCCTTGCCGTGCCTTGCCGTGCCTTGCCGTGCCTTGCTGTGCCTTGCTGTGCCTTGGCCTCCTGCTTTAGAGCCGACAGGTCCGAGGCGATGACGACAGAAGGGACAGAGCCATAGCTTGTGCTTGCACCTGGCTGAATGTTCCCATCCTTTCATTTTCATCTGTGCGACAACCAGGACGATGACAAAAAGCGGGACGATGACAAGAGAAGGGATGACGACAAGAAGAGGGACAGTGCCGGGGCGTGTGGTGATAGTGCATGCTGATGGTGTCGAAACTGCCACAAGCCGGCATGCACATCTTGCTCCCTGGCCTAACGAACGATCATGAATGCAGGACGATGACAGGAAGAAAGATGATGACAAGAAGAGGGACAGCTTGTGCACACTTGGCTGCCTGTGTAAAGGCCGAGGCCGTACCAGTCAGGGTTGTACTTTCACCTCACTGCTTCAAGCTATTGCACAGCCTGACATGCAAATGAAGGACGATGACCGCAAGAAAGATGATGACAAGAAAAAGGACAGCTTGTGCAAGCTTGGCAGTCTGTATGAAGGCCCTTGTCCTTCCATTCAGCTTGATTGTGACTCCTGCCTAGTTCTTCGTTTGCCAAGCCTGACGACTGTGTCATGGGGGAATGTCCGCGCAATGCAGGACGATGACAGGAAGAAAGATGATGACAAGAAGAAGGACTGCTTGTGCAAGTTTGCAAAAGCCTAGGGCATGCTAGTCTGCTAGTTCTGCTAGTCAAAGTTGTGATCTTGTCTGACTATGTGAAGCTTCTGCGAAACCTGGAGACGTGTGTCCACAGAGAGTTGCATCAATGAAGGACGATGACAGGAAGAAAGATGATGACAAGAAAAAGGACAACTTGTGCAAGCTTGGCTGTCTGTATGAAGGCCCTTGTCCGTCCAGTCAGCTTGATTGTGACTCCTGACTAGTTCTTCGTTTGCCAAGCCTGACGATTGTGTCAAGGGAATGCTCGCGCAATGCAGGACGATGACAGGAAGAAGGATGATGACAGAAAGAAGGACTGCTTGTGTAAGTTTGCAACTGCCTAGGGCGTGCTAGTCTGCTAGTCCTGGTGGTCAAGGTTTGCTCTTGTCTGACTATGTGAAGCGTTTGCGAAACCTGGAGACTGCATGTCCAGAGAGAGTTCCAACAATGCAGGACGATGACAGGAAGAAAGATGATGACAAGAAAAAGGACAGCTTGTGCAAGCTTGGTGTCTGTATGAAGGCCCTTGGCCGTCCAGTCAGCTTGATTGCGGCTCCGGCCTAGTTCTTGGTTTGCCAAGCCTGACGACTGTGTCATGGGCAGTTTGTGCGAGTTTGCAAAAGCCTAGGACATGCTAGTTAGATAGTCCTGGTAGTCAAAGTTGTGCTCTTGTCTGACTATGTGAAGCGTCTGCGAAACCTGGAGACATGTGTCGACAGAGAGTTCCATCAGTGAAGGACGACGACAGGAAGAAAGATGATGACAAGAAAAAGGACAGTTTGTGCAGGCTGTCGTATGAAGGCCCTTTCCCGTCCAGTCAGCTTGATTGTGACTCCTGACTAGTTCTTCGTTTGCCAAGCCTGACGATTGTGTCAAGGGAATGCTCGCGCAATGCAGGACGATGACAGGAAGAAGGATGATGACAGAAAGAAGGACTGCTTGTGTAAGTTTGCAACTGCCTAGGGCGTGCTAGTCTGCTAGTCCTGGTGGTCAAGGTTTGCTCTTGTCTGACTATGTGAAGCGTTTGCGAAACCTGGAGACTGCATGTCCAGAGAGAGTTCCAACGATGCAGGACGATGACAGGAAGAAAGATGATGACAAGAAAAAGGACAGCTTGTGCAAGCTTGGTGTCTGTATGAAGGCCCTTGGCCGTCCAGTCAGCTTGATTGCGGCTCCGGCCTAGTTCTTGGTTTGCCAAGCCTGACGACTGTGTCATGGGCAGTTTGTGCGAGTTTGCAAAAGCCTAGGACATGCTAGTTAGATAGTCCTGGTAGTCAAAGTTGTGCTCTTGTCTGACTATGTGAAGCGTCTGCGAAACCTGGAGACATGTGTCGACAGAGAGTTCCATCAGTGAAGGACGACGACAGGAAGAAAGATGATGACAAGAAAAAGGACAGTTTGTGCAGGCGGTCGTATGAAGGCCGTTTCCCGTCCAGTCAGCTTGATTGTGACTCCTGACTAGTTCTTCGTTTGCCAAGCCTGACGATTGTGTCAAGGGAATGCTCGCGCAATGCAGGACGATGACAGGAAGAAGGATGATGACAGAAAGAAGGACTGCTTGTGTAAGTTTGCAACTGCCTAGGGCGTGCTAGTCTGCTAGTCCTGGTGGTCAAGGTTTGCTCTTGTCTGACTATGTGAAGCGTTTGCGAAACCTGGAGACTGCATGTCCAGAGAGAGTTCCAACAATGCAGGACGATGACAGGAAGAAAGATGATGACAAGAAAAAGGACAGCTTGTGCAAGCTTGGTGTCTGTATGAAGGCCCTTGGCCGTCCAGTCAGCTTGATTGCGGCTCCGGCCTAGTTCTTGGTTTGCCAAGCCTGACGACTGTGTCATGGGCAGTTTGTGCGAGTTTGCAAAAGCCTAGGACATGCTAGTTAGATAGTCCTGGTAGTCAAAGTTGTGCTCTTGTCTGACTATGTGAAGCGTCTGCGAAACCTGGAGACATGTGTCGACAGAGAGTTCCATCAGTGAAGGACGACGACAGGAAGAAAGATGATGACAAGAAAAAGGACAGTTTGTGCAGGCTGTCGTATGAAGGCCGTTTCCCGTCCAGTCAGCTTGATTGTGACTCCTGACTAGTTCTTCGTTTGCCAAGCCTGACGATTGTGTCAAGGGAATGCTCGCGCAATGCAGGACGATGACAGGAAGAAGGATGATGACAGAAAGAAGGACTGCTTGTGTAAGTTTGCAACTGCCTAGGGCGTGCTAGTCTGCTAGTCCTGGTGGTCAAGGTTTGCTCTTGTCTGACTATGTGAAGCGTTTGCGAAACCTGGAGACTGCATGTCCAGAGAGAGTTCCAACAATGCAGGACGATGACAGGAAGAAAGATGATGACAAGAAAAAGGACAGCTTGTGCAAGCTTGGTGTCTGTATGAAGGCCCTTGTCCGTCCAGTCAGCTTGATTGCGGCTCCGGCCTAGTTCTTGGTTTGCCAAGCCTGACGACTGCGTCATGGGAGAATGTTCGCGCAATCCAGGACGATGACAGGAAGAAAGATGATGACAAGAAGAAGGACTGCTTGTGCAAGTTTGCAAAAGCCTAGGGCATGCTAATCTGTTAGTCGTGCTAGTCAAAGTTGTGATCTTGTCTGACTATGTGAAGCTTTTGCCAAACCTGGAGACGTGTGTCCACAGAGAGTTCCATCAATAAAGGACGATGACAGGAAGAAAGATGATGACAAGAAGAAGGACAGCTTGTGCTAGTTTGGCTGTCGGCATGAGGGCTGCGCTTGATTCTGAGTCCTGCGCGGTTCGGAAGTCCGAAAAACTCATGCGAAGCCTGACGCGAGTGTGTCAAGGGAATGTTCGCGCAATGCAGGACGATGACAGGAAGAAAGATGACGACAAAAAGAAGGACTGCTTGTGAAAGTTTGCAAATGCCCAGGGCATGCAAGTCTGCTAGTTCTGGTTGTCAAAGTTGTGCTTTTGTCTGACTACCTGAAGCGTTTGCGCAACCTGGAGACGTATGTCCTTAAAGAATTCCATTAATGAAGGACGATGACAGGAAGAAAGATGATGACAAGAAAAAGGACAGCTTGTGCAAGCTTGGCTGTCTGTATGGAGGCCCTTGTCCGTCCAGTCAGCTTGATTCTGAGTCCTGCATAGTTCGAATGCGTTAGAGACTCATGCGATTCCTGACGACTGTGTCACGGGCATGTTCGCACAATGCAGGACGATGACATTAAGAAAGATGACGACAAGAAGAAGGACAGCTTGTGCAAGCTTGGTGTCTGTATGAAGGCCCTTGTCCGTCCAGTCAGCTTGAATGTGACTCCTGCCTAGTTCTTGGTGTGCCAAGCCTGGCGACTGTGCCAACGGAATGTTCGCGCGCAACGCAGGACGATGACAGGAAGAAAGATGACGACAAGAAGAAGGACTGCCTGTGTAAGTTTGCAAAAGCCTAGGGCATGCTGGTCTGCTAGTCCTGGTACTCAAAGTTTGCTCTTGTCTGACTATGTGAAGCTTGTGCGAAACCTGGAGATGTGTTTCCACAGAGAGTTCCATCAATGCAGGACGATGACAGGAAGAAAGATGATGACAAGAAAAAGGACAGCTTGTGCAAGCTTGGCAGTCTGTATGAAGGCCCTTGTCCTTCCATTCAGCTCGATTCTGAGTTTCGCGCGGTTCGGAAGTGCGAAAAACTCATGCGAAGCCTGACGACTGTGTCAAGAGAATGTTCTCACAATGCAGGACGATGACAAGAAGAAAGATGATGACAAGAAGAAGGACTGCTTGTGGAAGTTTGCAGATGCCTAGGCCATGCTAGTCTGCTAGCCCTGCTAGTCAAAGTTGTGCTCTTGTCTGACTATGTGAAGCGTTTGCGAAACCTGGAGAAGTATGTCCATAAAGAGTTCCATCAATGAAGGACGATGACAGGAAGAAAGATGATGACAAGAAAAAGGACAGCTTGTGGAATCTTGGCTGTCTGCGAAAAGGTGGAGGCCCTTGGTGCTGTCTCCTGACCACTTAACACCGATGTGACGCCTGATGTTATTCATAGAAAGAGCTAGGCTGACAGCTACGGCAGCTTGTAGTGGCTTGTAAGTACGCGTCCGGAGCGTTTCCACAGCTTTTTGTGTGAAGGCCCTTGTCCTGACAGTCAACTTTCTGTTAACTCCCGGCCCAAAGCTCCTATTCCGGGCTGGCTACCCTGACTCGGGCCACTTCTGGTGGGTTTTACGCACACCCTTTCTTTCCGAGCCACACAGGGCTCGCCTACTACTCTCTCCGGTGGCGCACGATCCTAAATGACCCCCTCGGGAACCTCACGCGGAGGGAGCTGATGACGTTTACAGAAGCCCCCTGAGATGCTGGGCGGGGAAGGGTGGCGGAGACCGCGGCTACTGCTGCAGGTCGAACTCTACCTACCTACCCGTTAACTGATGTTGTTGACGGTGGGATTTAAATACACAGCAGTTCTTCCGTAGTAGCTTGTATTTGTAATTGCTTGCAGGACGACGACAGAAAGAAGGATGACGACAAGAAGAAGGACACCGACACGATTTGTAGAGGTGTGCTGACTGCTTGGAAGCCTGCGAGAAGGTCAAAGAGATGCGCTGTTAACACATTCTGTTTCCTCTATTGAATAAACGGAGAGGAGGGACGGTGGACAGGGCCATAGGCAACATACTCTCCATACCGCTCGTGTCCAGGATGTTGCAAATTCTTCATTAAATGTATACGAGGCGACTTGATCAGAAGCTCTCCAAGTGTTCCAGACCTCGAATCTTTGCCTGATTCCTGAAGCATACGATCCGTGCAATGCGATTGCTCGTGAACTATGACTTTCTGAGAATCTACCTCCATCCACTTCTCATAATCGTTCATCGGGGGACACCTGGAGACTCGCCGATCTCAGCAGTGCACAGGAATCGATATTATTGCCTCGAATGTGTTCCTCGATCCATCTGCTGTGGTTGTTCTCTCTGCGACTGGGAGGATGATGATGGATCGCGGAGGCGCAAGGACTGGAGCCGTTGTTGATGTATCTGTCGGTACACCTTGTTCTTGACGCTCATCCAGCATAAGCGGGAAATTGCGACGAGAGCGATGGCGACGATCGCAGACGCCGTCGCAAGGGCTCTCACAGTCAACATGAAGTCTTCCCAAGGGGCTTGGGTCGTGTTCAATTCTCTGGTTGCTACCAGCTGGATTTTCACAACAACTGTTTCGGGTTGAGGGATTGAGCTTGGGTGGTTTTGAGCCTTGGTGGTTGTGCATGATTTGGAGGTCAGCGCTGTGATGCGTGCTTTGCTGCTGAACAGGGTCGAAGGTATGGCCCATCAATTGTGACGAGGACGATGATGGATCGCGGAGGCGCAAGGACTGGAGCTGTTGTTGAGCTGTTTGCCTGTGCAGCTGCCTGGTTTTAGAAACACGACCAAACGCATGGATGAGGGCGATGACGACGATGGCGGTCGCCGTCGGAAGGACTGTCACAATGACATGAAGTCTTCCAAGGCTTTGGAGCATGCTCATGTCTTTGCTGTGGAAGTGCTGTGATGCGGCCAAGCTGGCTGCTAGTAGCCGACTTCTGGTAAGTTGGGGTATTGTGCTCGGGTGGTTGTGCACGAATTGCGTGAGAGTGCTGACATTTGTACTTCGCTGTTGAACTGGGTCGGAGGTAGGTCTGTCGTGTGCCAATCAAACATGACGAGGACGATGATGGATCGCGGAGGCGCAAGGACTGGAGCTGTTGTTGCGCTGTTTGCGGGTGCAGCTGCCTGGTTTTAGAAACACGACCAAACGCATGGATGAGGGCGATGACGACGATGGCGGTCGCCGTCGGAAGGACTGTCACAATGACATGAAGTCTTCCAAGGCTTTGGAGCATGCTCATGTCTTTGCTGTGGAAGTGCTGTGATGCAGCCAAGCTGGCTGCTAGTAGCCGACTTCACCTCTGGTAAGTTGGGGTATTGTGCTTGGGTGGTTGTGCACGAATTGCGTGAGAGTGCTGACATTCGTACTTCGCTGTTGAACTGGGTCGGAGGTAGGTCTGCCGTGTGCCAATCAAACATGGCGAGGACGATGATGCATCGCGGAGGCGCAAGGACTGGACGGGTGCAGCTGCCTGGTTTTGGAAACACGACCAAACGCATGGCTGAGGGCGATGAGGATGATGGCGGACGCGTGCCTCTCTATGAGATGACATTGCGGGTGCTCTACTACGAAAGATAGTGTGCCGGCTTTTGGGTTGTGCCGTGGTGTTGCTGCTGCCATCATGTTCCTGCTGCTTGTGCCTGTTGCACCCCGTGCCATCGGGTTTTGCCGCTTCGCTTTGGTGATATTGCAGCTATGCAAACTGGGGTCTCGAAACCAGCAGGACGATGATGGAGTGCGCCGGCGCAAGGACTACAACCATACGGTTGTTCTGGTATCTTCCAGATTGTTGGCATATTCCGGGGTTCGCCCGTGATGATTACCTCCATAAGTGGATTGATCAGGACGACGATGGCGGACGCAGACGCAAGGACCGTACTGAAAAGCTGGTTTGGGTGAGTTGAGGCTGCGCGAGCATGGGTGGATGTGAAATGTGCACGTGATGAAACGCTGACAATGGCATTTTGCTGCTGACTTTGTTCCGAGATAGTTGTGTCGAGTGCACGTTCATTTGACGAGGACGATGATGGATCGCGGAGGCGCAAGGACTGGAGCCGTTGTTGATCCATTTGTCGGTGCAGCTTGTTCTTTGGATTTTTTGGAAAGTTGAATGAGGGCGATGACGACGATGGTGGTCGCCGTCGGAAGGACCTTCGCGTGTGCGCTATGTGGTGTTTCTTTTCAGTGGCAAGTGCTGTCTGATGCTGGATTTCTGCTCTCAGGCAACTGATAAGTTGCGCAGGAAGGTGTAGTGCTTGTTGGCCACAATCTTCACGACATGTTCCTGGAGATCATGTGCCACTAGGACGATGATGCATCGCGCAGGCGAAAGGACTGGACATTGCATGAATGAATAGCGTGTCGTGGATGTGCTTCTGTGAGTTTCTGCGACGTGTCCCTTCCCGTACGTACCGTTCAGGACGACGACAGCTGGTTGGGAAGACGACGCAAGGATGCATCTGACGATTCCAGCTGGCAGTGTAGCTGCTGCGTGATGCTGAGAGAGACGGCAACAGCAACAGCATTGTTTCCGCAGCGTACGCGGTTCAATGCCGTACAACGAACCCGTTTCGTAAGCGCACGAATTCAAAATTCAATTAATTTGCTGAAGGTTCTTCGTTTCGAAGATGTAGATGTAGTGCAGCGTTGGAACAAGGGGAGAAGGGAACACACGGGCACCCAGACCACACAGCGAGCCCAGACACCACGAGAAGTGTTTCTCTGAGACAGAGACATGGGAGCGCTTTCGACAGCACTCACAGGACACCGACGCCAGGGACAGCAAAGCACCAACGCCACAGTATCTCTGAACAACGTGGGTGACCTTGTAATCCGCATGGCATGCGAGGACCGGGGCGACAGCGAGACGCAGTGCGAGAAAAGTGGAAGACCAATGCACTGGGACACGACCACGCCGAGACACCGTGGGAGTGGATCAGGAGGATCAGGATAGCCAACGCACCCCGACACCAAGACGATAGGTCACCGGGGACACCAATAAATTCCGACTGGGATTCCCAGATGAATGTACGCCATAGAGGGGACGCAGGGGAACAAAAAACAGAGTATTTCAGGGCCACTGACCACGTTCCAGACACGTGTTTGCCTTCAGCCGCTACAACAACGGTTTGGGGTGCTACATCACGTAGTCGGTCGCAGTGACGCAAGAACGGCTGGCCACACTTTGTCAGCAGGACGATGATGCCTCGCGCAGGCGCAAGGACTGGAGCTTTCGTGAAATTTGGTGTGACTGGCTTTCGAACCGAAAGCGGCTACAGTACACTAGGGGAACTTCCGCAGCATTTCCATCCTGTATCGGGAGGGACGATGACATCTGGTTCGCAAGGGTATGCAGGGACGGGCATCTGACAGTTTTCTTTCGCTGTGTGCATCGCTGTCTGCTGCACAGTAATATGCATTTTCGAGTTGTTGTGGATATTGCCACGACCTGAAGAATCGGTCAAGAGTTTTCAGGCTCGCGGCAGGCGTGTGCGTTCTCGTTGCAACAGTTCGATGCTATTCAGACATCGTTCCGTGTTCGTTGCACCCTGTCGACCAGGACGATGACGGATGGCGCTGGCCCAAGGACTGGAGCTTGTGCAACCTGTGATGTAGTCTTCGTTTCGAAGTTGGGCGGCCGCTTCATATGAAGAGTTGCTTCCTCAACATGCCTTGGATGTCTCGGACTGTGCTAGTCACTGCTCGTCAGTGCAGAGTGCCGCCAAGTTTGTGTTGTTCTTCGAAGCAGTCGGTGGCAGTGACACGAGAACGGCTGGCCACGCTTTGTCAGCAGGATGATGATGCATCGCGCAGGCGCAAGGACTGCCTTTTGAATCTCGCAGCCGCAACACTAGAGTCACTAGGGGGTACATCACGGATGTTTTTATTTATTTATTTTGCGAGGCTTTTGAGCGGCGTTTCTCGCTTTGTACCGGCAATCGTGACGACACTGCATATGCGACTAGGACGACGATGCATCGCGCAGGCGAAAGGACTGGGATTTGCATGAATAGTAGCGTGTAGTGGATGTGCTTAGGTGAGTTTCCGCGACTTTTGACGGAAGTACCGTTCAGGACGATGACAGCTGGTTGGGAAGACGACGCAAGGACGCATCTGACGATTCCAGCTGGCAGTGTAGCTCCTGCACGAAGCTGCGTGCATCGACCGTTTGCAGCCCTCACGCGCCAACAGAGTCAGCAGCAGCGACAGCATTGTTTCCGCAGCGTAAGCGTTCAATGCCGTACAACGAACCCGTTTCGTAAGCGCTCGAGCACAGAACTCACGGTTAACCATCTGACGTCTGACGAGTCTTCATCTCGAAGACGACCGGTTCGGAAGGATTCGCAGCGACAAGCGTTTGACATTTATACTTCGCAGTTAGCTACTCCCGCGGCTGCCTACAACGGTTTACTACGGCCAGCGGACCCGCGGGTGTGCGGTTGTTCATCTCATCCACAACTTCAAGACCGGTCTAAGAGTTGCAAGGTTCGCGGCGTGCGTCTGTGTGTGCGCGCGCACGCCTTCTCGTTGCAACAAACAGTTTTGATGCTACTACCGTCACTCCGTGCCGGTTGCATCCTGTCGGCTAGGACGACGGAGGGCGCAGGCGCAAGGACTGCACAGCATCATCACATGTACCGGTCGTGTCTTCTCTCCCAGTAGATTGCTCTCCTACGGTTGAGGATGGTGATGATGGACTGCGAAGACGGCGCAAGGACTGGCAAAGTTCTTGCCGGGGATGCGAACCAATGTGCATCCCAAAAGCGGGTAGCCGCGGGTCTTGCAAAGTCTTCTGCAGCGGCTATGGCTTGGACGCCAGGACCGATCAGACTGAGGATCCGGCTTCAGAGGCCTGCGGCCTACCACGGTGTGCAACCGCAGCATGTCTAGCACATCACGGCCATTCGGAGCCGGGCATCCTCAGCCCATAGCAGCCCATGCAGGCACCTGGCTGAAGGCAGCCCAGTTCCTGAGCTCCGAGTGAAGCACGTGCCTGGCCCCGGCTAATTGAAGATTCTGTTGCAGCAAGGCATTGCTTTGAAGAGCCGATTGGGTCGCGGGGCCGGGCGCGCCATGCCTCGCGCAGCAGCCACAAAGATCTGTGGCCTTTTAAAAGAAGTTAGACAAGTTTGTATTTTGGCATAGGTAGCTTCGCATGGAGTGAGAGCTGTGGAAGGTTACCGGGGCAGAAGGTTGGGAGAGAAGAGAGCCTGAAGCTGCAAGTTGAGCTGCCCCAGGTGTTCAGTTCCATTGCTCGCAGTCCAAGTTGTTTCCTTAAAAAGGCGACGGCAGAGGCTACAATTTTTGGGGATTTCCATCCAGGATTTTGGCACGGCGGAGCTTCACCATTGCAGACGACGAACAATACGATCGTCGCCCTGCTTTCGGCAAGCCCGTTCGTGCATGGCGCCGATTCGCACAATGTCAGCAGATTGCTTGTCGTGCTCGGAGTCCTTTCGTGTGGTTGGGAGCAACGCTTGCCTCGGCCACGTGCTTAAAAATGTCCACCGGCCGAGCCTGCAGCGGGACTTCCGGCCTTCAGGATCTGCGGTTTCAGATGTCTCGGGCTTTCGCAGTACTCCAAAACTTCGAGAGCTGGCGGCTTGGCTTGAAGAGTTTCCAGGCTCAGAGGGGCCACTCGAAGTTCCGAAGCCATCCTCCACGCGCCATGGCCATGCGGAGCGTGGCCGGGGGCCTGCGGAGCGCCCTGGGTCTGTTTCTGGCCTTGGCCGTCCATCCGGGCGAGGCCTCCAACTCGTCGTCGAGCTGTTCGGGCTGCGACATTGAGGACTGGAACGACGAGAAGTTCGCGCAGTGCAACTTCTGGGGTGACCCCCACATCACCTCCAGCTACGGCGATTTGGGCTCCTTCGACTTTCAGGGCCTCGGCCTGTGGAAGGCGTCCGTGTCCAGTGCCTGCGGATACAAATTCCAGGTCAACGCCTTTACGTGCCGATATACTCCGCAGCTCTGGAGCAACAGCATCACGCGTTACCTGGCCATCCAGATCGGCGACAAGATCATTTACGTCAATAACACCAATGTAGGCAAGGGAAGGGGATGAGGGGATGGGGAATCCCACGGCACAAGCGAAGCTTAGCCTTCGCCTTAGCCGCCTGACAGGTGGCAGCGGTCTGGGTTTGGTGGATGATCCTTCTTTCAGCCTCCAAACTGCCGGCATCAACATTCAGAGCCCGGACAAGTGCTTCCGAATGAACGTGAACGTAAAGCCTCTGGATGGCGGCTCGCGTTCCGTGCTCAGTGCAGGGGGATGTGGCAATAGCAGGGAGTGCGCAGACTTATGCAACTCAAGGCTGGTACCACAATGTGAAGCTCCGCGTGTTCAAGCATGCCGTTGAAAAGGACCCGTCTGCTCTTCGAGTGGAGAGCAAGCCCACGCACTGCTACCCTAACAGCCGACAGGCATGGTGCTCGTAGGGCAAGGGTTATAGCCAGTCGTAGCCCGCATCTGAGAGGATGGCATCTGTGGTTCATCCGACTTGCGCGATCAGTATCTCGGAACAATCCCGGCCTCTCAACCTTCTTCTGCCATGCCCAGCCGAGCGCTGAGCGCCGCTTTCAGGCTCGTCTCCCACGATGATGCCGACGTGCTGTTCACGGAGGAGCAGCTGGCTGAGATGTGCGGTGCCTGCACGGAGCCAAACGCGCCGGCCCCACTTGGTTGTCCTGGCTCCGACACGAGCAGCATCCCGGCGGAAAGGCTCCTGAGGCTCCTAAGGCTCCTAAGGCTGCTTACGCTGTCTTTTTCTCCTCAGAGGTCCCGGCTGCGAGTTCATGAGCCAGTCCACGAACCTCAACAGCTTCGAGTGCACGAAGGACATGCTCCCGAAAGACGGGGATGCTCCGGATGCGGACAACCTCACCAAGTACCTCGAGCTCACCAACAACGGAGAGTATTGTATGGCGTATGTCAAGACGAAAGGACGCGGTGGAAGCAACAATTGCAAAGAGTACTGCGAGGACATCGGCTCGAAGTGCGTGGCTGTGTGGGACCAGATTGCCCGCACAAGCTGCATGTTGGATCCGGTTGACATATTCGAGAAACACGGAGCCACCTGCGACCATCGTGCAAAGCTCAGCGACATGCTCTGCATTTGCGACAAGCCGTCTCCGGACGACCCGTTCCCTGGCCCTCCACCGGAGCGCGTCTGCGGGGGTGCTGAGCCCTTCAACGAGGCCAAGGACCTCTGCAAAGTTTGCCTTCCGAACGCCGAGTACAGTGACAAGCCTGTGACCGAGCAAGACCAGCGGCTCCGGTCTTGCATCCTGGACATCTGCTCCCTCCCAGACACCGCCACGCTCGATGACAAGAAGGCCATCTCCGAGAACGCCTGCGAGCAAGATCCGATTCTTCCTCCCTCCGGCCGGAAGCTCTGCTCCTCTGGAGGGTCCCTCGCCGGCAGCTAAATGCAGCTATCAGCCCCTCCCACAATGCCTCAATGCCTGGGCCCAGGTTCTGTGAATCCATCTGCGGCGACAACCTCGTGTTCCCCTCCATCGGCGTCGGTGCCTTTAAGGGTTTGGCTGACTTGGTGCCGCAGTGCCGCCTTCTGCCCCACGCTGAGGCTAGCGCTTGCCAGAGCCTCTGCAAGCCCCTCTTCGAGTCGAAGGTGGCCCCCGGGTTGCGGGGCTTCTGCGACTTCAAGGATTCCTGCCAGGGCCAGGAGTGCAGCCTAAGCCTCAGCCTGCAAGCAGAGCTCAGGTCCTAGGCCTAGGCCACAGCCACAGCCTCTTCTCACCGAGGCGAGTCCAGTTACTACTGCCCTTTACTGTGCCAGAGCCTCGAGTGCGACCAGAATGTTCAGGCTCAATGGGTCCAAGTCTTGATCCGAGCCTCGAAGCCTCGAATCGAAGACTCCTAGCCCTAACTCCTGGCAGGATGGATGCTCCGGATGCCAGGAAAGGTGTGCAGACGTTTTCGGCGATGTTGACGACATCCTCGAAGAGTACTGCGAAGACTGCTACTCCGTGCCCGTAGACGATTCGGATCTCTGCAAACGACCCGGGTGCCTCGACGCTTGATAGCGGGGGGACTGCCGAGCTTTGATTGTAACCTCGGTTCGGCAGAGGGGCTCCGCAGCCAATCCGTGGCAAAGCACGCCTGGACTCCGCATGCTTGCTTGCTTAGCCGGCCTGGCCGCACGTCGTTGCGCATACCTGCTCACTCAATGTCTTCTTGCTTTCTTGCTGGCGGTACCTGCTTGCTTCTTACTGGCCACCTACGGTCGTCGTCACGTACCGACTGAGTTCCGACTTAGTTTCATAGAGCTGATCTATGCACAAAGTAGCATATCTGAATATTTTCTTCGCGTGTACGATTGTACGATGCTCGGTAGGTTCTGCAGCGAAGCTTCGTCAAAGTCTTGCGGGGGTCACTCGACTCTCAGGTTCTGTGCGGAGTACTGCAAGGGCGCCGTGAACGGCAACGATCCCCTGGTCTTCCCATCAGCTGACGACTGCCTTACCGTCTGCAACAGCGACGATGGGTACGACCGCATCATCAGCACCGTCGAATCCAAGTTCTGCCCAAGTGACATTTCCGGGAAGACTGCGAATCAGATTTGCAAGGGAGGCCTCTGCAGGATTCCTGGCAAGCGCAGGGCGTGCTTCGGTCCGTGTGCCAACGCGCTCTTGGACAGCACGGGCCTGGGTGGCTTCTTCCGGGAGTATTGCAATACTTGCACGACCCCGCCCAGCACGACGACCACCACCACCCCCAGCACCACCACCAGCACCACCACGACCACTACGACCACCACAACAACCACGACCACCACGACCACCACAACAACAACCACCACCACCACCACCACCACCACCACGACCACCACAACCACAACAACCACCACGACGACAACGACCACCACGACCACCACGACCACCACGACCACCACGACGACAACGACCACCACGACCACCACGACCACCACGACCACCACGACCACCACGACAACCACGACCACCACGACCACCACGACCACCACAACCACAACAACCACTACGACAACGACCACCACGACCACCACGACCACCACAACCACAACAACCACTACGACAACGACCACCACGACCACCACGACCACCA